ACTACCAGAAAAACCAGTCTCTTCACTGTGCTCATCTTCACTACCGGTGCAAAGGTTTCGTCATAGTTAATGTCATATATCTGTTGAACCCTTTCACCACCAATTGTGATTTGTAACACTCTACATTCCCTTCAAGATTTTGTTTCACTAAGAAGATCCACTTGCACCAAACAACTACTTTTCTCTGTTAATAATGAAATTATCTCTCATGTTTGGTTTTTATCGAGAGCTTCAGGCTCTTCATGCATGGCCAATTTCCACTTGAGATCTTCATTAGCTATCTGCTAACACTTGGGTAAGAGACAAAGACCAAAAATCTAATGAATGTTTTATGTACATGTGATATGTTAGGGTATGAAATAAACAAAGCAATACCATGTTCTTACCCAAAACGATCAGGAGGATGTTCTACATTATTGTGAGATATCCTCCTTAAAGTTATGGGGTTGGAAGTAGGAGTCTGAGTCTGAAGTTGATGGTGTAAGTGTCTCAAGAGTTGGAATAAACTAGGACAAGAGACTTGCTGACATGAGTGACACTACAAACATAGTTTCATCATTATATTTCCTCCTTGTATAACCCTCAACTCCCCTCCAGCCTGAATCCCACCACCTCTAGGTTCAATCTTCTCATTCTCCGTCTCCTCAGTCGATTCATCCATAACAGGACAAAACATCACTTTCACATATACCAATATCTCACCATTACTACTTACCCCCTCTTAGTATTTGGCTAGTCACCAAAGGGTGAGGTCATTTCCAGGGTGTAGTACGATTTAAATTCTCCAAAGGACACATCCATGCTCGCAAAAAATGTCTTCTTTATCGGACAAGAAACATACCCATTTTGGGTAGCAGAATAACTCACGAAAACACACTTCATAGCTTTGAGATTCAGTTTCTCTATTGATAGTCTCTTGTCCTTCACAATACACATAACTAAATACTTTCAATGGGAAGATCTCACTATTATCTCCTTTTAACATCTAACAAGAAAACTTGCAATCTAACACTCTCGAGGGCATCCTATTAATCAATTGAGTAGCAGTCAAAATTGCTTGCTCCCACAAGTGCTTTAGGACATTCATCGCGATTATTATGCTTCAGGCAACCACTAAAAGGTGTTTATTATTCTTCTTTGCCACTTCATTTTGTGTCGGTGTGCATTGACATGTGGTTTGATGTTGTATCCCTTGGGTCAAAAAGCATTCTTCAAACGTCTTATTAGTATATTATGTCTCATTATCATACCTCAATAACTTCACTATTATACCATATTGAGTTTGGATTTCCTTGTGAAAATGTTTAAAGCAATCAAACATATCACCCTTATTTTTCACCAGATACAACCAAACAACACAAGAAAAACAATAACTAAAAGTCACAAAATGTCAATAACCATTTATTGAACTCATAGAACAAGGTCCCCAAAATCAGAATGTATCAAATTAAAAACACAAGAACTCTTATTCCCAACACTGATATAATAACTCCTACCAAGCTTTCTAAACTCGCAAGCATCACACAAGTTTTTGTTTATTTGCCTTTTCACACAAAGATGAATACAAACAACTTATTAAAACAAAACAAGAGTGCCTCATGCATCTGTGATGTAGACACATCCTCCACACTATCCAAATCCACCACTCCAACACTCTATCATGAATGTCAAAGTTAAATCCATTCCCTCTCTATCCAAGTACCAAAGTCCACTATGCTATGTTCCGATCCCAAGTATTCAGCCTGTCCCTTTCTTCTGAAAGATCACCTTAGTAATATCAAATGAAACAACACATTTTAGCTAAAAAATAATGACACTAACGAATAAAAAAAACACTGAAAAAGAAACATGCAAAATATTGGACAAAGTTATAGAATCGATACACTTCACTATAGCCTGACCAACTACAGACTAAGATGTACCATTGACAATCTATTCTTTCTGAAAGTGCTAGATGAGTATATGAATCAAACTCTCTAGCAGTACCTGTCAACTGTCGATATGCATCAGAATACACTACCCATTCTAATGATCTTGAGGTGAAAATAGCAACGAGCATGTGTATCACAAGTACCAGAGTGAACATAAGTAACAATGTCACCCATTGATGATGATGAAGTGGAAGCATCCTCGACCTCATCACAGCTGATTTTTGCTTCCTCTTCAACATCTCCAAGAACTCATAATCCTCATCCGTAAAGACCACACCTATCTCTCCCTCGTCATATGCAACCATCAGATTTGTTGGTAGCCACCTCTTTGACCACCAAAACCATGACCACGACCACGCCCATGACCACCAAATTGTCCACATCCACCTGTCTCTGGCCTACTTCACCACAGTTGTAGCACTTGTGAATCTTCCCCATGGCACCTGTCATACATGAGCTTGAGGCAGCCAAAATTGATTGTTTTCTTCGAAGCCTACTCAGCTCAAATTGTAGCCTCATGTGACTCTCCTCCTATGTCAACGCAACGATGGCCTCATTCGTGAAGGGATCGTCGCCTGTCTAGAAGGACTGATCTCTTTTGATCAAAGGTCGGGTTCAGATGAATAAAAAACTGCTTAGTCCTCATCTGTGCAAAGATCTCATTCTTGCACCCTGGATCACCAAAACTCAATATCGATGAAAAGTGGTCAAGATCTGTCCACAGTTACTTTAGATCTATTGAGTACTCCTGAATCAATCTATCATCCTATACCATTGTCATTATCTCATGCTAAATCTGAAACACCATCATTTGGTTCTCATCCCCAACATAGATCCTCTTCAGCTTCACCCAGATAGCTCTCATTTTTCGAATACCCATCTATAGATGAGGCAATCGATGAAACCATCGAGTAGAGTAGTTAAGTGTAAAGCAAGGCGTTTGTGGTCCTTTACTCATCCCCTTCAACACTGCCACTCTTTGGCTCGACCCTCATCAGATATCCCTCTAGTCTCTTACCTACTAGAACATCCTCGATCCGATGAGACCAACTCAGATATGTAGCGGGTCGATCAAGTTTCAGTTCCACAAAACTGAGATTTAGCTTCACATGCGCCAGAGCAAGTGTTGAGATAGAAGCTCCTGCCGAGGCGCTCGCTTCGTGCATGAGCCCCACCAAGGTCTTCAAAATTTCATGATCTATCTTCCCTAGAAGCTCCAATTCTTTACTTCCCGCACTATCTTTGTCTCCTACTATCAAACAGAAGGATCCAAGTTTAGATCACACAAATCACAAGTGAATTTGATTCTTCACATCTGTACGCTGGATCACGTTTGTGATTGTGTGGTGGCTTCCCTATCTTGTCTGCGATCACGTCGCAACCTTCTGCTAGCCCTTTGTGTCTCAATCAGGAAGAATCAAAAATAGAAGGAAGAGAGTTACAGGTCTCTAGAAGCCACGATCCTTCGTGATTGTATGCTACTTTTGGTAATTGTATGCTGCTATTACGCCGCTGACATCCCAATTAACTCTAGTCGCACCTGCTTCGCGAGGAAAAAGCAGAAAATTGGGAGTTTTAGTTCTCTATATGACGATCCTGACTGTTTCAGACCCAGTCTTCTACGTCGAATCGAGCGGTGTTGTCGCGACAGCTAGGATTTAGCTCTATTACCAACAATAAATAATTGCTCTAAAAAAATTGTTCTATCATTCATGGCTTGGGCTTATACAGGGTCTTACAACATTCTTACAAATAAATCCCTAAACTTCTTCTATATTTCCTAATTACCAATAGGGCCCTCAGTTAAATACAAATCTCAACATCTTTTGACCATCACTATTAACATCTAAATAGCAAATACAAGCAATAAATCTCCAAATTTAATAAACAGTTGAGTTGTAAATAAAGAATATAAGCAGCAACTAACAATAAACAATAAGCATTTTTATAAAATATAATGCAGCAGCAACTAACAATAAACAATAAGCATTTTTATAAATACAAGAATGCGTCATCAAACTGCTTACATGTAAAATGAGTTCTAGTTAAGTTTGGCCCCTCAATAAGCTCAGATCATTTGATCAAACACTTAGCTAATCCCACAATCAACTTCCAAGGAACTTGAGCTCCCACAAGAACCTGCTTTCAGTTAAAGATATGAACAATGATCAGGAAGAAGATACAGACTTTAGAGAGGATTCTCATTTTTCAGCCAACGAAGATAAGACGCCACCAAATCCAGTTAGCCCCAAGATAGAGATTCCAGCTAAGGTAACACACTGCTTTAGAAGGTAGTAACTTTGAGGTAATAGGCAGCCCAACAAAGCCTGAGATTATAATGCCTCGAGCCAGCATTTTTCAAACTTTGAGAGGAACTTCAGCTGGACCAACCTTGGATGTCTACAAGAGTCATGAGTTTGAGAAGCCAATATCACATACAAGGTTACCACAAATAAAGAAAATGCAAATATGTCAGATTTATACACCACCTCCTGAGTTACCGAATAGAAATCATTTTGGGCCATCTCGGGAATATCATGTAGAGTTACTTAGAGGTTATTTTCTGTTTCGCATGGTACCCCTCGTCAGATGACCAGACAGAAGAGATGAACATCAACTTTGAAATGTGCCTAATGAGCTTGGGGGGAATGAAAGTTCTACAATGGGGTCCAAGTTCTGTCATTGAAGATGCCTCTCCTGAGTGGCTGCTAGTGAGATTGACACAGCCTACCACCGATTTCATCCCCGAATTAAGTTCTCACAATCTTGTTAATCAACCACCACACGATAGACACTAGAAGTAGAAGAGAAGATTTCAAATGTAAGGATTCTAGATTTGCATTGCGAGAACCCTCCTCTAGATGAAGCTCCCGCTCTGGATGCACCAAAAGAGAATGACTACCTATTCTATCAAAATGTGTTGTGAAATGACAACATCGACAAGATCAACCCCCCACATCACCTTATCCTCCCTCGTCCTCGCTGCTCTCACTGTCCCAACCCTCCACCTTTGCTGCCGCAGCACACAACGACTTCGATTTGTTGTTTTCTGCTGTCCAACAACCCCATGTTGTTGTTTGGACTACAGCCCCTAACTGTCTTGTTGTTCCGGCGATTGCTCATCCCTCCTGCCACCTCACTATAGCTGCAACCCTCTTTCCTCAGCCACCAACAATTGCCCAACAGCCTCTGTCCTCGTCGTCCCCCACGGACGTCTTTTATTCCATGTCGTCATGTTTGTATGTTCTCTCTTGTTTTTCCTGTATCGTGTTTGTAATATGTTTAAAATTCAGAAATAATATGTTTTTCCAACATGATTTGGGCTAATAACTGTATTACTAGCATATTTCTGTTCAAAATAAATGTTGGTTCAGTATTTCCAACATTAAATGTAACAAAACATTTTTACCTTCTAAATCCAACTATGCTCACCTAATTTCTATCAACATATTAAACTGAGGAGAGTGCATAAACAGAATCTACAAATAAAAAATAAAAAAATAAATAAAATAAAATAAAAAATGCATATATATAGCACCAAAATCCCTACATGCTTCATCTTCACTGCAACAGTTAGTCATCGTCTGTGAAGTAGATGAAATCAGGTGAAGTAATAGGCCTCGAATCGATTACAGTTTCGGCATGGGCTTCGGCTGCAGGAAAGTTGGCCAACAATGATTCAAGCAGGCCATCATCAGGTCCGGCATAATGAGGCAGCTCAGACTGAGGTATACCAAAGTAATGGGGTGATGTCCCAAACCTTGCAGGCTGTAAGGTTCCAAAAGTATTCAAAATGTTTGAGTCCATGAAGGGAAATGGTGCTGGAAAAGAAGAAGCCAGATTTGGTGGAGGAACTGCAGGGGTTGCGGTAGAAACCAGAGAGGGGGGTGTGGGCTGCATAGTGGCAACTGAAGCAAGTGGTGTGCTGAAAGTAGAATCTGAAGCATGAGGGGCTCTGCCACGTTGAAGATGGGGAGCAGGTGAACGACCAGCATGCAGGTTCGGACGGAGATTTATGGGACCAGTCTGCAAGATTCCTCGGGGATTTACTAATCCAGTGGAAGACGCTTGGGGTCTTGAAATGGGAAGAAAATGCGGAGTTGAAGCCAGATTTGTATTCTGGTAAGCGTGAGGCTGAAACGTAGTTGAGAGTGGCACAGGAGCAGAAGCTTGAGGATGCTGAGAAGAATTTTGGCTTGGAGCTACAAAGAAAAAGCAGAATTAGTTAGTCAATAGAAGTTTTTGGCGCTCTGCATTGTATGGGAATAAGGATTAGAAAATATTGTTCTAGCAGTATGAAGTTTATGAGCTTTCCGGGTCATGTTTAGAATAACAAGCTTAGGATAATAAAAAATTGAAGCAGGTGTAAGCAATGCATTTAGATAATAAATAAAAATAAATTGTACATCTGTAATGTCAGAGGACTTAATTGTTTAAAGAATGCAAGCATTTCTGGTAAATAAGTGAAGATAATAAAGGTCTTGGTAGTTGTAATTAAGGTTCTGGGCTCGACTCACACTTAAATCCCATTCCATGCATGGACTTTGGAGTGGGCCAAAAAAATGTGCCATGTTTAGAGTTTTGCTGATAAAAAAGCTGAAGGTGCACTGTAGTTTAGAGTGGCAAATTAAATCTAAGGTTAATTGTTCTACTAAAGTTTAATGGCTGACCACAATTTTTTTCCAAATGACCAAAAAAAAAAAAAAAAACACAAATCTGATTACTTTTAGTTTTGCATGTGGTTACTAAAATTATGAATCTGGCTACTCTTTTTATGAACTGTTTAGTAATAATGGATATGGTTGCACATTATGATCTGGCTACAAATTTATTCTTCTCATTTTACCCCTCCATTTCCCTCCTATTAGAAATATTTAAATTGCCCATTGTACTGTTACTGATAACCAATTTCAACTTATAAATAACCAAAGGCATATCTATTTAAAATAACTAGATAATCTAAACAATATAACTGAATTTAGATTTAAATAACCAACTCCTCCTAACCTAGATAATGCTTAAACAACCAGATTCACAAAACTAGAAATCAGATTCAGATCATGAATGAACAATTCCATACACATTTACTTGCAATACCTAAATCACCCAAGAGAATACATAAAATTTTGATTAACAAGATCTCCATAACGATGATGGCGGGTTTCTTCCACGAGACGATGACTATAATGCTGAGATCATTGGAGCAAGGTGGCAGAAAATAGGTTACCTCTGTGCGAAGCCAGCAGAGATGGCCAACTACTTGTGGCAACATGATGAGGAGGGAAAAAACGAGTCCGTAACGGCAATGATAAAGAACAATAAAGGGAAATATGTTTGGCAACATGCATAAAACTAAATTTTGAATTTCCTTCAGTCTTCGACTCAATCTAAAAACGAAATGAAATACATCAAAGGACTGAAGAATAATTTAAGATCAACAACCATAGATAGCTGCTAATATTTGCCCAGAAAAAAATTATATTTCAACTTGTATCGCATGTATTCCACCAGAAGTTAGTTTGCCACAATTCAATTGCAATCTTGAAGATTTCGCTCGTCTGATTGCTCATGTGCTCGATCACAGGGCCACTCCAGCTTGTCATACAAGTTCTCAAGTTTACTTGCACATTGGCTAAAAAAAAAAATTGCTCAAAAACATCCTCTGTACATTCATAACATGGGCTTAAATAGGGTATCACAACATTTTAGAAATAAAATCCTAGAATTCTTCAATATTCTCTTTTTATCAATAGGACCCTAAATAAGATCCAATTCTCAACAGTCCCCCTCGAGATGGGAAAAAGATATCCACTAAGACCATTTTGTCACATAACCAAGACAAATCTAAAGTCCTTTAGTGAGGCAATCAGTCACTTGCTCTTCTTGTCACATAACCAAGACAAATCTAAAGAACCAAAGTCCTTTAGTGAGGCAATCAGTCACTTGCTCTTCGGTGGCTGCATGACTTATAGCTCCAGTAGTCCGTTATTTAGTTTCTCCTTGATGAAGAATCTATCAAGCTCCACATGTTTGGTTCCTATCGTGTTGCACCGGCTTGTTGGCAATGCTAATGCTAACTTGTTGTTGCATCACAACTTCATTTGAGTTCCTTGGTTCACCTTGAGCTCGACCAACAAGACTCTTAGTCACATCATCTCGGCAACTCCTAAGACCATGGAGCTGTACGCTGCCTCTACTATTAACCTCGCTACTACAAACTATTTCTTGCTTTGCTAAGAGAACAAGATGACCCCCGCGAACATGCAATATCCTGAGGTGGATCTTCTGTCATTTGCAAAACTCGCTCAGTTAGCATCATAAAAGCCCTTAATGTCTACATGCCCATTTTCCCCGAAGATCAATCCATTTCAAATACTTCAGAATCTGATACACTGGATGCATATGACCGTTCCTTGGATCAAGCATATAGCGACTCACCACGGTAACTGCAAAAGAGATGTCAGGCAAGTGTGACACATATACATCAGACAATCCACCAATCTATGTTACCTCTCATGATCAACCAGTTCTCCTACCTTTGCACTCAGCTTGACCTTCAGGTCAGTTGAAGAGACTGCAGATTTGCACCTCAGCATGCATGTTTCCGTGAGGAGATATAGTACATACTTTCCCTACGATAAGACCATCCACTCAAATCCACAAGCCACCTCAATACCAAGAAAGTATCTGAGTTGTCTAGAATCCTTCACCTCAAATTCATTGCCTAATTTTACCTTTAATTGGGCAATCTCCGCCTCGTCATCACCGGTGACAATAATGTCATCAACATACACAATAAGTATGTAGTGTGACCTTCAAGTTGAGAAAACACCGTATGCTCTGCATTGATCTAATAATATCCCATGCCCACCATGGCCTTTCAAAATTTGTCAAACTAGGCTCGAGGAGACTGCTTCAAGACATAAAGTGACTTCCTGAGCCTACACACCTTGCTCACTGTCTGGACTGTACCGAATCAAGCGATATTTCCATATATACCTACAGTAAGTCGCCATGAAAAAATATATTCTTCACATCGAGTTAGTATAACATATACCCACCATTCACTGCAAGAGAAACTAGTGTCCTCACTATGCTCATCTTTGCTAATGGTGCAAAGGTTTCATCATAGTCAGTCATATGTCAAACCGCATCCTTTCGCCACCAATCGTGCTTTGTACCGCTCCACATTCCCTTCTGAAGTTTGCTTCACTATGAAGATCCACTTGCACCCAACTATCTTTTCCTTGTCGGTAGTGACATTATCTCTCGAGAACCCTAAGTTCTTTGTGCAAAATCACTTTCCACTAGAGATCCTCCTTAGCAACCTATCAACACTTATGACGTGCAAAAATACAATGAATGCTCCATGTAAATATGATATGTTAAGATATGAGAGAAAGTTGGCAATATCAAGTTTCTATCTAAAACAATTGGGACGGTGTCCGACATTGCTAAAGTTAAGGGGTTAGGAGAAGAAAGTGGAGGAATCATCACCTGAAAGATCTGAATTGGTGGCAGATGGTGTATGTGTCTTGAGAGTCGGAAAGACCAGAACAAGGGACTAGCTGACATAAGTGGCACTGCAGACACCATTTTCTCATTTTTCTTCATTCTTCGTGTATACACCCATGACTGACCTTCAGCCTAAATCTCACTACCTCTGAGTTCACTCTCCTCATTTTTCGGTTCCTAAACTGATTCATCCGGCATCACAAGACAAAGAATTGCTCCCACGTGTACCACTCTCAACATTGCTACTCACCCTGTCTTGCCTCATATCTCCAATAACTGACGAGTCACCAAAGGGTGAGGTCACCTCTTAGGTGTAGTACGGTTCAAACTCGCTAAATCAAACATCTATGCTCACAAATAATCTCGTCTCTATAGGGTTCCAGCAAACATACCCATTATGAGTAGCAAATAACCTATGAAAACATTTCACAGCTCTGGGATCCAGCTTCTCTAAATAACCTATGAAAACATTTCACAGCTCTAGGATCCAACTTCTCTACTGATGATCTGTTCTTCTCAAAACATACACATCCAAACACCTTCAATGGGATGATCATGCTAGTGTCTCCTTTCAACATCTGACAAGAAGACTTTCAATCCAACACCCGCAATGACATCCCATTAATTAATTTAGTAGTTGTCAAAACTATTTTCCCCCATAAGTGCTTCGAAAAATTCATTACGATCATCATGATTCGAGTAACCTCTAGAAGGCGCATATTCTTCCTCTCTGCTAAGTTTTGTGTCGCTATGTACGGACATGTGGTTTGATGTTGTATCCCTTGAGCTGACAAGTATATCTCAAATACTATGTTGGTATACTCTATCTCATTATCAGATCTCAATACATTTACTACTATATCATATTGAGTTTGGATTGCCTCGTAGAAGCTCTAAAGCAAGCAAACACATCGCCTTTATTTTTCTTCAAATATAACCGAGTAACACAAGAAGAACAATCAATAAAAGAAATAAAATATTAATAACCATTCATAAAACTTGTAGAATAAGGTCCCTAAACATCAGAATGAATCAAGTCAAAAACACTAGAACTTTTATTCTTAGAACTGATATAAGAGCTCCTAGTAAGTTTGTCAAACTCACAAACAACACAACCAAGCTTTTGTTTACTTTTCTTATCATACAAAGACGAATACAACGGATTCAATAAACCAAAACAAGAGTGTCACATGTGTCTATGATGTAGCAACACATCCTCCACACTCCAAGATTTTTATACTCCATCACTCTCTAACATGAATGTCAGAGCTGAGCTCATCCCCTCCCGGTCAAAGTGCCAGAGTCCACATGCTACGTTCCAATCCCAAATGTCTGACCCGTCCCGTTCTCTTAGAAGATAAACTAAGAAATATCAAAAGAAATAATACATTTAGTTGAAGAATAATGACCTCAATGAATAAAAAGTTCATTAAAGGAGTATGCAAAACATTGGACAAAGTAATATAATTGATATTCTTCACTATATTCGTAAGAACTACAGGCTGCGATGTACCATCAACAGTTTTGACGCTCTTTGGTACTGCTAGGGGAGTATAGAAGAAAAACTATCTAGCAGTACCTGTCAGATGTCGAGATGTACCAAAATCTAATATCCATTCTGATGACCCATGGTGGAAATAGAGATAAGAGCATCTGTATCACAAGTACCTTTTTCAGAGTGAGCATA